TTAAATGAGAAGTATGCTGTGTCCTATTTATTCATGGCTGGTAAGTGAGACAGAAGAGAGGGCGTTTAACCAATGAAGTTAATCTTGTTGAATGACTACTGCTAGCTAAGAAACGTTTTAAGGACTCGTCTTGTAATGCTGTCCTAACTATTTTGCTATGTTGTTCTGCAACCAAAGGTTCATCACATCTGACCAATTAGAAAGAAGCCATTTTGATGACCACGCTCCCTGACGGACAGAAATATTTAATACACAAATAAGCAGCTTATTTAACCACAGAACTTTGAGGAACATTAATATACTGAAACAAATGAATCAATTCAAAAGAATAAATTCTGTAAAAATGCATAAAAGCAGATCAGAGCGACTCATAAGCAGAACAAATATGACTCAGATCTGCCCCCCTGTGTACACTAAACAAACCAACAATCATGTCAACTTTATATCTAGCAGTGGTCAGAAAATACAACAACACAAAGCACCTCAATGTTTGAAATTGCTATAAAACCTTTTTCAATGTCATTATGGTTGTTCATTTTTAAGACATTGTATTTGGACATAAAGATAAGTGTACCACTTAAATTTTTCAGACGTCTGCACTAGCCTGTGATTAAGCCAATAGACGTACCTTTATCAGGTGTAAAGTGCAATAAGACACCAGAACGCACCCATGCAACACAAAACTGCTATCTGTTCCTAGAAGGGGTAGTTTTCTAAACAGGATCAGCAAGGAGTGTGACACAACCGTGTGAGGTGGTCAGAGCGGTTAGTGTGTGTGGCTTGCCCATTGTTTAGAGACATGCCTAGTAGGGTTGGGCCAGGTCTACAAAATTGGCATCGGAAGATGTCTACAGTGAAACATCGCGATGGACAGAGTAAGGAGAGATGACTGAGGACGATGGCGAATGATTTGCAGATCCTCAGCACAGACAAACATCTAATCTTGTAAAATGTGTGGTAAGTACTGCCGCTCCATAGTACGTGCGATCGCGAATCTCGAAAGTGAACGTGAAACTAAAAAGCGATTGTGCATTCAAAAGCAGTTTTAATGCCAGGCATAATAGCGGCTAACTGATGCCCGCAATTTATACACAGTATAATTACCCATGATATAACTGCGAGAGAAATTATTAAAATATCTATTTTCCTCCTATCTCGTATTTAATCCCTTTAGGGGTTCCGTATGCACTTGTCTCTGGATCGTATTTAATCCCTTTAGGGGGTGGAATCACGATGTCGGCTCAACATCGTGATGTCTATCAGCCATCGTGTATCGGCCCAACCCTACTGCCTAGTCATGCTTTTTAAACTATACACAGTCTCCATGTGCGTAATCTTAAACCTAATCTGAAACAGAAGTTTAAAACACATTTCATATTGAAATGTGGATTACCTCAACATATCCATCTCATACTTCTTCCCGCAACTGGTCTGATTCCTGGAAGGGGGCAGCAAGTTCAGCTCCAGATGCAAAGACGTGTATCTGAGAATCTAAGATTAGCCACAATAAACTAGGACATTCCTCACCTGTAATCCACAGGGTGGATAAAGTCATCTTTAATAAAGCTAAGTCCTGCAGGAAAGTGTCAGACCTGGTGAAACGGGTGCTGTCTTACACATTAGACTGGCATGTTTAAAGACCCAACAGCCGTCTGGACTGACAACGTCCCATCTGGGTTTTCAACTAATGCTTTTCCTGTCTCGTTCATTTCACACTTATCAGTGAAGCGCACTGCATCAATCAGACTCACAAATGAAGCACCCTCAGTCCTCATTTTCAGCCCAATGTTTGCTCATGCGCAAATCACGAGAGACAAACTACATATAGCTGTGCCCCCAAAATAAATAAAAATCTGTTCATTCAAAGAATACGACCACTTCTCATTCTAACAAAGCTGCTTTCAGTCTTTCAACCATGCCACAGGAGCAGCAATTTTAGCTACTGGGTAATAACAATGGCAGCTTTGATGGGGAGGGAGAGAAGCAATGAAGTCTCATCTCTTTTTTTGATTGCTCATGTGTTAAACTGGTAAGACACATGTTTTATCTGTAACTGCATGAGCGGATCTGTTAAACAAGTGCAATTACTGAGCATGCCGGTTGTTAATAAACAACTCAATTTCTTCTAAAGCTCTAAATCTGAATGAAAACATCAGACCTGGACTACTGGGAATAAAGCCATCTTCAAAACTAATGATGGCTATTTAATGTCTCATTAAAATAGTTCTAAATCACTATAAAATCAGCAGAGAGTAATTAAGGTTCATTTGTTATTACAATGAATCAATGTTTCCTTTTAGCATAACATAGATGAGGACTATAATAGATGAAGATTGTTTTAGATGAATGGAATGTGTGTTTATAATGTAATGCATAATAACCAGTAACCAAAATCATTAGAATAAGTCATTATAATTAGAAAGACAATAATATGAAATGACCATCATATTTTAAGTTGCTGGTCAAACCTACAATACCATTCAAATGTTGGTTGATCGAAATTCATCAAAGTGACAATAAAAACATTTATAATTTTATAAAAGATTTATATTTCAAATGCTGTTCTTTTGAACTTTCTAGTAATCAAAGAATTCTGAAAAAATTTTCAACAAATTTCACATTGATAATAAGAAGTGTTTCTTGCACAAGGAAATCAGCATATTAGACAGATTTCTGAAGGATCGTGTGACACTGAAGACTGGAGTTATGGAAATTCAGTTTACAATATGTTAAAAAAAAAAAGGTATTCTAAATTGTAACAATATTACTTTTTTACTGTATTTTTAATCAAATAAATGCAGCCTTTTTTTCAACTTTTGAACAGTAGTGTAACAGTAGCATTTTTGTAAGGACAGTAACACCTTGAACTAAAAGTTTTAATAGTGCAAAATGTCTGTAAATGTATAAGGGAACATGCATATTTTTAGATGTTCTACATGTTCACCATTTTTAATCACTTAAAGAGTCAAGCAATCTGACCAATGATTTTTTTCAAAGCTGAAACGTTCCACATAATCTCTCACTAAATATGAGCTCAGCTTGTTTAATGGTCCTAATTATTTAAGAACAAGAAACATGCAGTTTAAAATAAATTTGGCACTTGACGAGTGTAATGTCATTATTATTTCAGAGCATGTGCTGTGTAGAGAGTCAAGAGAGGACACATACCCTCCAATCTCTGAATCTTGGCCTTGACTGAGACGACCTGTTCAAACGGAGAGACGCGCAACTGGAAGCAGGTCCCTGTCAAAGTCTCAATGAACAGCTCCATGGTCTCGCTGAAGGGCAGCTTGTAGTGCACCACACCTACATTGTCATCATTGAAAAACGGTGGGTTCCTCTTGTCAGTCATTACTGCAAAGGACAGGGCTCAGGATGAGACAACAATGAACCCTGCCCAAGGTGGAGGAGTGAGGACTGAGATGTCGCCTCCGTTACAGTAGAAACACATCATGCATGGAGCTTTGGGCTGTAGAGGATCAGAATCTTTGAATTACCATCTAAAAGTGTTATTAGGTGCATTTGAAAATATGAGTATGTTTTATATTCATTTATACTAATATATATATATAT